CAATAGCATTGGCACTCCTGAGTTCAGGAGGACTTTAAAAGGAGCGATTAAAGCTCACGGAAGTAAGCTAACATGAATAAACTGCCCAGGCAACAGGGAAACATTCCAAAGCCCTGTGCTGTCACCAGGCTTTTGGCCAATGCTGCTTAATCATATATGCAAAACATAAATTACAGAAAGATTCATCACTGGTTAGAATATTCACAATTAATAATTGTGCATTGCACTGAAGAAGCTGCCCTGCAGTGTCCTCAGACAAAAGCACTGGGATCTTCTCCCCATTCTCAGAGCTTCTACCCATTCTCAGAGCATCATCAGTGCGAGTGTACAGCAGAGGCTTCCTCTGTGGGTGGGTCCTCTCAATAGGTCAGGCAGTTTTGGAAGGGAAGTTTGAGAGCAAGCTTAGGACCACTTGAGCATCACTCTGCTGAAATTCCTAAATCCTGTGGCTGGCTATAAGGCATCATGGCAGCTGCTACAGGACACATTCTCATCTGGGCTCGGCTTGCACATACCAGTTCATACTATCCGGGCATGTAACACTGGACTGAAAGTCAAATTGCTCGTGGCACAGGGGAGCCTTCTTCACTACAAGGCCCTCAGAGTTTACAACGTCTTCTTTAAACACAGACATACTCATAGCTTTAATATTTAAGACCCTCTTGAGCCTTGTCACAGAATTTATACAGCTCTATCAAAAAACCTTCGATCTTCTGCGCAGTGCTGAGTAAAAAACCTACATTTTGGGTTACAATGAGAAGTGACTTTTCCACCACTTAACAGAAGATTATAATTTTCACATAAGATTATAGAGGCATGGTTGTAATGCCATCTGAAGACTGCATTTACAAAGATCTGACATTCAGCAGCTCACATGGAAACAACAGAGTGGTCAGATTCTCAAAAACTTTGGAGTTGTAATTGAGAGCAACTTGTTAATGACTTTCTGCAGTATCTTACAGATGTAAAGTTTTAACTGCTTAGAAAGCCTTCCATCACATGCTTCATCTGATCAGACACCACTAAATCTACACATCATAATAGCTTTTTAAACAGTATTGGGTAAGCTAGAAACTGTTCCCTCTGTACAGCATTCTCAAAAATAAATGTAACTGAAGATAACTTTGGCCCAATTTTTGTTAGGTCATAACTTTCCCCATCCGACACATCCAAAGTTCTGCATCAACTAAGTTCCATGAGAGTTTGAGAATCTGCTCCCGTGCATGCCTATAAGCCCGACTACTAAAAACGGATGAAAAAAGAAAATCTATTGTCTCTCTACCCTATCTGCCTTTGCTTTGGAATAACGAATTAACAGGTAAAAACCAGTGCAGATATTTGAGGTAAAATTTCAAAAGCTGACTCCACGTTCTGTCCTAACACATGCTTGTACTGTACAGCTGAAAACATAAACCCCCCTGCAGAAGAGGGCACAGTTTCACTGGGACAGAACTCCCGTGGCTGCACTTGCCAGGAAAACAAACCACGACCTCCCCTTCGCTCATGGCTCAAGCAGCATATTTCGAACACCCTAGCACATACAAAAGGCACGGGCCCTAGAATACCTTTTGCTTTTGCTACTTCTCCTTACAAGCTTTTTGTTCTGGACAAGTAAGTTTGAGATGCTCCTGCCACCGCCCCAGGTCCATGAATACAAACGAAGCCGCACGCTGCTCCAGATTTCTAAGCCCTTCACGGTGCTTTCAGCTGAGCTGAGAGGCAAACCGTGAAGTGATTGTCTGCAGCGCGGACTGTGAGCGTGCCGGGTGAGCGGCAGGGCGCGGGCTCATTCTCCGCCGCGCTGCTGCAGCGAAGCGAGCGGAGCCGCACCGGGCGGCAGCGGCGCCGGCGGAGATGCGCCATTGGAAAGGCTCCTTTCCCTGCCCGCCCGCCCGGGTGGGCAGGGCCGGTGGGAAGGAGGGAGGGCTCAGCTGTCCGGACAGCCACGAGCCCCCGTGCCGGGACATCGCTGCGGCGCCCGCGGCGCGAACCCGGGCACGGGACACGCGGGGAGCGCTCCCGCGGAGGACGGAGCGGAGCGCTCCCGCGGAGGACGGCCGTGCCGGCCCGGCGGCGGCACCAAGCCCTCCCGCGGGAATGGAGCCGGACCCGGACACCCCCTCCCCGCCCCGACCGTGCTTTCTCCTAGGGCGGCCCCTTCCCGCCTCGCCACGGCCCCCGGCGAGGTGCCCCATCCCCTGCCCTCGGCGCGGACGGGGCGCGGGGGGCGGCGGGGCTCGGGCGGCGCGGCCCCACTCACCGCCCGGCGGGCGCCTCCGGCCTCCGAGCAGCAGCAGCGGCGGCGGCGGCAGCAGCGGGAGCCGGCGCGTCCCGGAGACGGAAGCGCGGGAGGAAGTGAGGTCGGGCGAAGGGGAAGCGGCGCCGTTTCCGGGAGGTGGAGGGGGATGCGGTGCGGGGGTTCCCCCGCGCCCGGGGAGCTCTGCCGGGCGTGGATCTCTGTGCCTCGTAAACCCCGCGAGTGACGGGGACGCGCTGCGGAGCGGCGTCAGCACGCGGGCACGGTAACGTGGGAAGGACCCGGCACTGGCCGCACCGGGGCCCCGCGCCCTCGCCGCTCCCGTGGCCGCCAGCCCTCGGCCCCGCGGAGTGAGCCCGCTGTTTTCCGCGGTTCCTTACAGCGTGAAGCTGTCACAGGGGCCACCCTCACCCAAAGGAGCCTTTCCATGGGGCAAACCCACGGAGCCTTCTGCCACTGTGAGTTCGGCCTAGGTCACGTTTTACAGTCCCTACAGACACTGAAATACAGATCATTTCAATATAGTAAAATTTGGTGCTCAAAGCCAAGTTTCTTAACATCCAAATGTAACCGTGGTGGTGCTCACCACTGCTCCAAGAATTAATAGATTCCAGTGCAGAATAGGTGAAAACCTCCTGTGGACAAAAACTCCCAGCACTGTGCTGGTTCTTCACTTGGCCAACTGAAGTTGTGTAACGTTAGGAATTACAGCATGATACATCTTCAAATAGTTTTCATGATTAGATGCTTTTATTAAAAAGTAATTTCTGCAGAATCCTTTCAATTAACTGATTTTGAGATTTACCTAGAAAGAAAAAGTAACTGCATTGTGAAGTCTCTTCTGGACAAGCTATGATCTGCTTATACCGATTTTTACAGACAGACCCATTCTTTACAGCAATTTGGCTAAACTGAGCTAACCACCTTTGCTATTAACATTAGAGTAGTGGCTTTAAGTGTCTTCCAGACATGCAGCTCACTGTGTCCTTCTCAAAGTTTCTCCAGGAAAGGTTCACAGTATTGCATACACAACTCCCAGATAAACAGAGAGCAGAATTTTCTGCACTACCACCAGTGACACTGTGGGCTCTCAAAGCTTCACCTTCACCAGGCAGTACGGCCACAGTGCCTCCGTTCACACTGACTGCATTCAGCAAATTCAACAACTCATCATCAAGGAACACAAGGCTTTCCAGGCAGACAGGTACTGCCTCGCTTTCTCCAGAGTGCTGTTGCCAGACAAGGTAGGAGCTGATTTCCAAGCAGAGAGAAATAATTTCAGATATTGCTAAGACTGCACTTCCATACCCCCAGGTTCCTCTGAGCAGGTCTGCCCTGTGCTGGGTACTTTCATGCTGAATGTTCCAGCGGACACTCGCTTTACCTCACGAGGGCTCAGAGAAAAGCTACTAAGAACAAACTTTTAGGGACAGTCCCCTCCGTTTCCCCCTTGCCTTCAGCTATGTGTCAATTAAAAAGCACTGAAAATAGCTCCACATTGACTCTTAAAATCAGCACTGGATATATGTCCTGAGTTCCTACAGAACTGTGGGCTTCATTCCACTGAGAGCTGTACGCTTTCAGTCTGTTTTGGTGGCTGCTGCTGCTGCTGTTCATACTTCCTTGCTGAAAGAAAGAAACACCAATCAACACTGATTATACAATTTATATTATTATTGCTGCTATTATTATATTATTTATTACATACATGTATATATGCACACATTTATGTTTATATATATATATTAATGTAACCATGACAACAATCAAGAAACAGATGAAGCATCAGAGAAACTAATTTCAGCCACACAAGGGGAAGCTTCAGTCACCGTGTAGAACTTCACCTTTAGTGTATGGCCTTATAAATGCTGAACAGCAGAGTCATAGCAAAATGTCAGTGAATCAATGGCAGAGAACTATGATTCCATTCAGGTCCTTTTATTAAAATAAAAATAATTAAGATTAAAGGTTATGGCTTCAGAAGTTTTATTACCGATGACCTGAATGGCTCAACAGGCACAAGGCTGATGTCCACATTTCTCATCTCCTCCACAATATACAAGCCACAAGCTAACAATTACATTGACTTCAAAACTAATCTGGTTAGCAAGGCAAAGGGAGATCAAAGAGTTGTGTGCAGTGGTACAAACACCATCAGCAAATGCCAGCAGGCAATCCACTGTAGGAAGAACATCCAATTTTGTTCCTACAGAATGCAATGGCCTAGTCTAAGAATCCTTACATCAAGTCTTTGCATTTAAAAGGTGGTTTCAGATCACTAAGGTTTTTCTTGCTGAATTTCCTCTAGGCATGCATGTAGGGCAGATGTGAAGCAAGGCTGTGTTTCTCTGAATTGGACCACTGGAATATCACGGGCATGGGGCCCTTTCTTGCCTCCATCCTGACCCTCAGCATTGAGATTGGAGCAGCAACACTTGTTGGTACAGTAAAATTCTAATCTATTTTCAGTTTATGTGGTTGTCTTATCGTGATACCACAGTCCTCTCAACTTTTACAAATCCGTCCGGGTTTTCACAACATCCAGACCTTCCTAGCTCTTTCAACGCGTAGCACGGGGTTCATTCTGACATTTGCTTTAGGATAATTGCACGGCCGCTCCCTCGCTCCGTGCCTCCTCCCGCTGCTGCCGAGCCCCGCTCCTCACGGGGTGCCACAGCACCGGGGGCGTTCCCCTTTCGGAACGGCCCCAGCAGCCCGGGCCATCCCGTTCCCCCCGACTTACCGATGGAGTACATCTCCAGCTGCTGCCGCAGGCGGATCTTCTTCATGCTGTCGTAGAAGTTGGGCTCGGGCGGCGTCTCGGCGGCGGGGGGCAGGGTGAAGATGCGCAGGATCTTCCTCTTGTTCCTGCGGGGGAGGGGGCACGCCGGTGAGGGCACGCCGGTGAGAGCGCTCGCCCCCCGGCGTGAGGGCCCCGCGGGAGCCCCCGCCCGCCCCGCCCCCCTCTCACCGCCGCGCGTAGACGAGCAGGGCGAGGCTGGCCAGCACCACCAGCAGGTACACGTTGGTGGCCTCGTTCCACGCCTCGTGCACCGAGTAGTCGATGGCGCCGCCGTCGCCCAGCGCCGCCGAGGCGCCGCCGCCGCCGGCCCCCGCCACCGCCGCCATGGGGAGCGCGGCCGGCAGGGGCGGCCCGCGGCCCGGGAAGTGACGTCAGGGCGGTGCCGCGCGCCATGGCGGGGGGGTCTGAGGGGCGCCGGGAGCCGTAACTAGCGCTGATAATAAACTGCGCAGGGGAGCATTAGTGCTGCTGCCAGGCAGCACCTGGGCTTGTGCGACTCTGAAATAAATCACAGAGTCACAATCAGTGAGGTTGGAAAAGAGCTCTGAGACCGTCGGGTGCAGCCTGCGACCGAGCGCCACCTCGTCAACCAGAGCGTGGCACCGAGTGCCACATCCAGCCTCTCCTTAAACCCTCGGGGAGGGGGACTCCACCGCCTCCCTGGGCAGCCCAGGGTCAAATCACCCTGTCTGTGAATAAATTCCTCCTAGTGTCCAACCTAAACCCCTATGCTGGCCCAACTTAAAACCACGTCCTGTCACTTGTCACCATGGAGAAGAGGCCGAGCCTCACCCGGCTACAAGCTCCTTTCAGGGAGCTGTAGAGAATGAGCAATGTCTCTTTCAGGTGTGTAATTACTGGCTTGTTGCACACTGGGTAACAAATCCAATTTTTCTGGACTGTCCCTGAGGCCCTGGGGTGCCTTTCCACACTTTTATTATTTTCTTTCATCTCCCATCTCCAGCTATCAGACCCTTGGGGAGAGGACATGCAGAGGGGACCACTTCTCTCCCAGGGGCACGGGAGATACAACAAATCCTTTGGTTTTGCAGTGCCAGCGTCCAAGGGAAGGGCACAGCCGGGTGTGGGGCCAGGAGAAGCGTGGATTCAGCAGCTCTAGGAGCCTGGCAGGCGAGGAGTCATCGGGCTGGGCTGGTGCTTGTGCAGCAGCAGTGGAATTATGTGGAAATTATGTGGAATGCAGCTCTGCAGTGCGTGGTGTCAAAAAAAAAAAAAACAAAAAAGAGGTTCAAATTGTCATGAGGTCTCGCTTTTCACATAGGAACTAAATGTGACAGTTTAAATTTGTCAAAATAGGAAGAGCGCTTTCTGAAAGACTTAGTGCTTTTTTTTTTTTTTTTTTTTTTTTTTTTTTTTTGGTACCAAAATTGAAGTTTCTGGATATTCAGGTGCTGAAATAACATAGCTTAATTGATGGTCCATATGCTGCTGTTGCCAAAAACCACAATGCTAGGATTATGCTTTGGCAGAACAAGTGTTTCAGCTCAGAAACTTGCAAAGCTTTCTGAACTGCTTAATGAGATGTGGGCAAACTAGACTGTTCTAACACTCACAGACACACAAAATTTTCCCCTAATGCCTGATGTGGAGTGTTTGAGCTACATGAGAGATTAGGTGTGCTTTTCCCTAGGGCCTTCTGCTTCTTTCTGTCCCCCTCTGTCCCTGATATTTCCTTTTGCCATAGCTTCCTTCAGATACTAGAACTGTTACAATTTAGACACCAATTATATGGTCCGTGTCCCTCTGCTCAGCATGTATTTGGGGTATGTGCTTGTGTTATGGTTATCCATCTTCACCCTTTATAAGACACCCCAATACATAAGTATTTTCAGGGTGTGATTTGTCTAACCTGTGTCAAACATTCAGAACCATGCCTCCTGTGCCCGGGAAATGCTCTGATCCCTTACTGAGTGCAAGGAGTCCAGACACCTCATTTGGATGGCACTTGCTTTGCAGATGTCTAATCAGCCTGAGGAAACTCTGTCCTTTGGGGAGCTGTGTTCTTACTGTGAGATGTTCCAAGTCTTTCTCTTTCCATGGTATGGAACAGATTCATTTTAAGAGGCCTTAGATCAGGACATAAAAGAATATGAGTGAAAATGACAGTATTAAAAAAACCCCAACAACCTAAGGCACTGGTGTCATGAGAAAAGTTCCTTGCCCCACATGGTGTGGGAAAAGAGGATAGAATAACAATTAGACTTAATTCTAGGTCATTAAATTGGGATGGCACCCATGCACAGAACTGTGGAAACCACTAAGAGAGATTTTTAAAAAAGTCACTTATGCAACACGACAAAAGACATTTAATTAAGCATGGTTTCAGAGGGATTTTAAGCAGTTTCTTGTGAAGTTAAGGCTTTTTGTTTGCTTTTTTAGTATGTTGAACTTTCCTGCTAACAAGCCTGACAAGAAAGCATCGCACATCTTTGAAGAGAAGTGGAAAGAACAAACGTAAGTAACTTTGGTGCTCTTTATACTGCATTACTGTCTCTAGACCTCAGCTGAGATCAGGCTCCCTTGGATGGGGAGGAGAGAAGCTGTATTTAAGTTGTAACTAAAGGCACTTTTTGTATTAACCCTGCAGCTTGCTCTGGACAAGCCAGGAAGGAACTGGGACACTCCAGGACTCTGCCTGCAGCCTCCCATGCAGAGAAACCCTGCATGGCCTGCATCCACAAAGCATGAGCTCAGGTCCTGGCATTTTCTCTGCAGCCTCCAGCACACAGAAACAGACTGCCTCACTCAGCATTGCTCTGTTCATTTGATTTAATTAAATGCTTGGTTTCAGACTTTGATTATCCACCTGCCCCCAACCTACAAGACAGGCAGAGACAGATTTTCTGCTTCCTCTGAATTTATAAATGTGAATCAGTGGATAGGACAGGGTTAGACTGAGGAGCACAGCAGCTGGTGCTGCCCTGAGTGTGACAGCCTTGCAAACCCAAGGAAAAAGATGATCTTCCCCCTATTTGACTCAAGAATTAGGAGTTCTGGGGGTGCAGGTCTTCTGCATGACTTCCTTGAAGAAACTGGCCCAAACAGATGGCTGACTCTTAGGCCTACAGGTTAGCTTGTCTGGTACACTGTAATTTCCTTTTAGAGCCTGGGCTTTTGTTTCAATCTTGGGGTCCTAGAGGACATTCAGAAGTGGGAATGCAAGCTGCTCTTGAATTCAGTCAGAGCACAGCCAGTCCTTGCAGTTGCAATTTTGTGTGAGAAATTGTGTTACCTGTCCATGTAGGTTAGGTAGCATATTTATTTGTGGCTTGGTTGAGGTAGGATGGGATGACCAACACTTGTGCATGCTGTTCATGCATGAGGACAGAAGTTGTTTTATATTTTCTTGTACAAAAGCTGCATGTAGGGAAAGGACTGTCATTTTGTGCTGTGCCTCTATAGCATCTAACCTACAACATCCAGGCCCATGACCAAAGCCTGTAGGCACCAAACTAATAATATGTAATAATAATATATGGCACTGGCATAAGCTAAACATAGTTCATGGAGACCCAAACTTAGTGGCTAGATTTTCAACATCACAGGCACCCCACTCTCCCTCCATACCAAGAATGAGCTTTTAGGGGGAAAAACACTTAAAAATCCCAACTTTTACGGAGACTTTGTTCATTCCACAAAGAAATCCAGAGTGTACTTGAGAAAAGTACTCACTTCAGTCTCATAGATTTATCAAGAGAATTGCTGAAATGGGTCTTCCAGCTCTACAGGGAAAGAATTCACTTTCCAAAAGTCATTAGCATCCAGCAGCTACTAGAAATTTGACTGAGAGGTACTGAATGTTATCCATTTTTAAAATCTAGTTACTGCATATCCAGATTGTGAATGCTGAAACAATAAGCTCGGACTTTTAAAAATTATGGCCAAAGAATGTGTGTGTATGTGTCTATATATAAATACGTATTTTCTAATGCATTTTGAGTTACCCAGAGCTAAACAGAATCAAAAAATGCTGATACACAAATATCATTGTAATGTAAATATATTCACCATTTAAATCCTGATAAATACTGGATTATAGACTTCTGAACAGAGACTGACAATTATTGGAAATCATGTGGTCATCTCAAGTATACAGTGCCTCAATTAAAATAAAACCACAAAATCCTTTTCCTTTTTTAAAAGTACCATCTAGCATATAATTTATTTGGTTGGAATCTACAAATATACACATTATATCACGCTAGAAGAACTTGAGAACCACTTTTTTTTTGTTCCCAGGGTCTCTTGACTGTTGGTAAGACGTTACAGTCATAATGATAGAATTGGTTTACAGTTGCAAATTCTGCCAAATAGCTCACAAATTATATTTGGCAAACAACACTGCCTCTGTTTCACAAAGATAATGATCTGATGTTTTGTTTATGTGGAAAGGAAAATATTATTTTAGAGCTTGTGACAGAATTTCAAAAACTTTGTGCGGTGTTCTCAACATCTGATACATTTAAAAGTTACCACTCTATTAAATACAGAGTAACACAGATTTTCAACCAATCCTTGAAAAAGAAATAAAAAAAAATCAAACAAATGTTCAATTAAATACATTGTGTCCATTTTATTTCCTCCATATTTACCCAGACCTACACAACAGCTGGTGCAGATATTCATACACTACTTTTTACACCTGATAGTGTCAAACATACAAAGGAGTTGCCATGTAGGCTGCTCACCCCTAGAGGATTTAGTGTTATAGGAATGCTTTCAGGATGGATTCTGAAATCCATAGCACAGAGTGGGAAATGCTCCATCTGACTTGACCCCCCAGAAGCATGCAGCCAGCAGCCAGTTTGGAAAGGAAAACAGCATAACTTTGACAGTGCTATTCTTTGGATGGCTCTGAGGAGAGAATGAAAGGAGCAGTGGGTTTGAACTGAATCTGGGACTCTGCTCTGAGACAGAGACCTCTGAGGTGGTTTCCATTCTGTAACCTGTGGTGCAAACCTGCCAGGTAAAAACTAAACTTTAGTGGGAAATCCACTGGGAATTTGTTATGGCAACAGCAGTGGGCCAAGGATAGAGTGCACCATACCAGCAGTGGGCCCTGACACCTGCAGGCAGACTGTCAGCAGGCTCAGCTAGCATGCCTCATGTCCTGCTCTCCTCCACTGCAGTGTCCACTCCACTCCACTGACACAGCAGTGTCCCAGCAGAGTGCACACTGGGAGCCAGGTGCTATTTCTTGAGTCTGGGAGAGGGCTTCTGCTTTGATTCTTTGTCTAGCAGCTGGGTGGGTGAAATGTGCTGTGGGTCTGCTGCAGGGATGGCAGAGGAGGCATTGCCCAAAAGAGAAGGGTAAGGTGGCTACACTAACCTCAGCAAAGGGGTTGCCCTGACCCTTGGAAAGGGGCCAGAGCCAGAGTCTTCATCTTGATAATGACGGCAAACAAAAGCCCTGGAATGGCTGGGATCATATCTGCCGACCTGGGGTGGTTTGGGGAACCTCCTCTGAAGTTTTCTGAAGGAGATAAGCATCACCCGCTGTCCTTCTTGTGTGGCCTGCATCTTTGTACAGTTTTTTTGACTGGCTTTTCGGGATGGAAGAACAGTAATACAATAAGAAACATGGCAATGACCATCCCCAGAGAAGCATCCTTTGTGGGAAAGGACAGGGAATGTGGGACACTTGATCTGAGCTTGAGATAAGAACCAGCAGCTGTTGTTGAGGTTAGGGCAGAACTGTGGCCGTGGTCTTAGCAGGGGAGGTCATGGCCACTGGTCTAGAGCTGGATGGGGGCTCCCAGCTGTGAACAGGCCTCTTCCTGCTCTTCATCTTTTGATGTTTTCCACTAGACAGAAAAGAGCTGCTTGTACTGAGGCAGCAAAGTCCCTGAATGTTTATCAAAGGCTGTGACTGGTGGTAAAGACTGAAATGCCCAGAAAGTAGGATTGGAAAGAGAGAAGACTACTGCATGTAGGGCTGTCCTGCCTCTTTTTCCCCCTCTCTGTGATGCCTTGCCTTTTCCCTTTAAGGGAAAAGAAGCTGGAAATGTGGGAAGGAGTGGATTCATGCAATCTTGAGAGTGCAGAAGGAGCTAGCAGGGAAGAATAGAAAGATGCATAGGGTACAAGTGTCTGATTTTACAGAAAGACTGGAAGGAGGTGACACGCAAACTTGGTTTTGGTCTCACCAGGCTGAGATAGAAATGGACAGTAAAGTACACAAAGACCACAAGCAAGTTAAAGGGGAAGTAGCATGTGTGGTTAATAGGTCAGCCCCTATATCTGTCTTGTTCCTTCAGACTTACTAAGACAAACAAAATGAGATCTTTAAGGGATTTATCTTTAAGGGAAGTTTGCCAGGAAAATACTGGCTGCAAGGCCAGATTCTGCCTATGTCTGGGCTTCAGAGGCAGCTGCTAATAACTAACTCTAAACTGACCTTCATGCTGCCATCTAGTGTTTCCTCACAGACAGAAACAACATCCCAAAAAAGAAATTGCAGCTCCATAATGTTGTATTCAGAACAAATCTGATTTATTCCTGCTGAAATACAATGCTGGACAACACACAAGCTGAAGGAGAGGTAATGGGAAAGAGACATGTAAAAGCCACTGCTCAAGGTGCATGTTTAGGGAGACACCTTTTCTTAAAAAAAATTGTAACTATTTCATCCAGGAACAGGGAATCATCTCCATGGCAAAATAATTATTCTGAACCATAATTTTCCCACATTTTTTTCACTCTGTGAAATTAATATGGCTGTTTGCAAGGTGCAACAGTACACAAGAGGGCAAGAATCCCAGCAGAAGCTTGTCTTAACCAAGAGAGACCAGCACAAGATGCTTGTCAGGTTCTTGTCTGTCCTTGCTACACTCCTAAAAACCCTTCATGGAATGGTTATTTACAGCCATCAGATGATGATTTCCCTTTCAAGTGTACATGATGGCTAACAAAAGGTAATAAATTATCATAGGGGAAACATGCAGAAGATTTGACTCTTGGCCCTTTAAAGCCTTATCCCTGGCTTCAAGGAGCTGTAACAACAGACTTTTCCAACTGCTGCACATCCTGTATCCATACTGGAACTGTAGAACTCTCACCCTAATAATAATAAGTCAAGAGTTCATGGGCTGGATGATGCATTTGCAACAGAGCATTTCTCTTCCCCGTGCTTCTTTTAGGTGTTTTGAGTCAAAGTCCAACACAAACCCAAAGCATCCACAATCATTGCTGTCTTTTGGAGAACTTGATTTCTGAGCTTTGTCTCCTGACAATCTGTGTAGGAAAGCTACAAGGAAGGAACGGATAAGTGAAAAATAGCAAAAGTCTAATTTAAGAGAACAGACTGCCCAGGGGGAAAGGAAAGGTATAATCAGCAGCTTTTAAAGTGCTCCTGGTGGCATTGTATGATATCAGGAATGAATTTACTAATTTGCAGAAAATTTTTCCCATTTATAATAAAATTCTGATACCACGATTTGAACATTATACATTATGAAATGACTTCCTGATCTCAATGCAGTCAGAACATGGCTGGTTTATGTGAAGAGGAATAGCAGCACAGACAAGAACAGAACCAAACTCTTCAAAAAGGAGCAAAAAGGACAGTGTACTTCTCTGCTTACAAATCACATCTCAGGTCACAACATGGAAGTTGTCTCTTAGGCCTTTCAAAGATACAGTCCACAGCACAGAAAGTCTTCAGGTGGACAGTGGTGGAGTCCATGTTTCTCATTCATATTATTCCTGTTTTTTCACCAAGAGAACTACATCCTGGATCCCAGTCCCACCAGACACAGCCTATTGCTGGATTAAGGCATCATTGTTCTTCCTCTCTAGCTGTTGGTACATCCATGTAGGTTACCTCAAGCTTTTTCCTAACACACCAAACATGGCTACTTTTTAGTGGCCTTCCTCTATGCTTAGTGGACTTTGAATTCAGGCCGAATAGAGTTGTATGCTCTGAATATAGGAATTTTCTTTTCCAAAGCTTGTGTTTAATGCTCACTGCTGTGGAAGTCATATTCTCTTTCAGTTCCTTATTATTCTCCTTTCCATCAAATCATAAAGACACTAAGCCAGGCTAAGTTAATGAAAAAAAAGAGAACACGCTTCAGCTCTCTTCCAAAGTGTTCAGTATTTCTGTGGATTACAGAGGCGTGAGAGACTTGCATTCGACAGCTTCATTTCTAAAGAATGGCTCTAAAGAGCCCATCTGGGAATACCACAGGACAAAGGCTTGAAAACCAAGAACCTGTGTCTGTAAGCAGACTCTTCAGAATCTGCATCATCTTCTTGCTTCCCAAAAGCGGCCACACCCTCGCTGGTGTAGGGTACAGGGCCCACAGAGCAATGGACATTTGGCTCCAAAAACAACTTGTGCCCCAGCCAGCAGGGAGAGAGAGATTGCCCCCGCAGCTCTGGCACTGGGGCTCACCAAAAGCTGAAGTGAAATGGGGTACTCCTTTCTGAGTGACCACTGCTTTTACTACGTGGGAAAGTAGGTGAGGGCTTTGTGGATACAATATAGGCCAAAGCCATAGCAATCAGCACAAAGCTTATGGGGGGCATGCCATAGTCTCTGCTCTCCAGTCTCCACCAACAAGTTAAGGTAGACCAATATTTTTTTAGCTGTTTTTCTCTATTTTTTAAGATTTTTTTTGTGTAAATGTTGCAAAAGAAAATTGATCATTTCTTAAGGAACAAATTTCCCCTGCACCCACACAACTTCCTTTCTCTCCCTTCTCGTCTTCCAATGGTAGATTTAACATGCCAATGGAAAGCTTGCACAGCTCTTGGATTGGGGGGATTTTTTTTCTTTTAATCAAGAGGTACAAGTTCAGCTGTTCTTTTGTTCTCAGTTTTGGGGACAGAGATTTTGCCCATCAGGCAAGTACATAAATAGGAAGGACATCAACTTAAAACATCAATATGTTGTTTGCCTCGTGATTCACTATAACATTTCTCTAGTACCAGGCATGGCTGCCTCCCGAATAAGCAGAGTTAAAACTTTCCTGTAGGTGTCTAAGACCTCTTGGGCAGAGGGCCGTTCTGCCGGGTCCTTCTTCTTACACGCTGCATGGATGTCAAACAGATGCAGTCGTACAATGTCACTTCCTTCTACATGGCCCAAGAAAAAATTAGAGACATCTGGGATTTTCCAAATGTCTGTTTTCTCATCATAGGGAGGCATGAGGTCATCTTCGAATGGCACATCTTCTCCATAGGGCCAACGCTGCTCAGGAGCTACAAACTCACCCCGGAGCTCCCTGTGACCACACTTCACCAGCCTGCCAGCACTCCTGTTTACGAGAGGCAAAGCGTCCAAATCATTCACCAGAACATGAAAGTCACTTGTCAGGAGGTACTGGGAGAGAACCTTGTCCAGGTCATTGGAGTCACACATCACTAAGGTGCCCAGGGGGCTGCTGTGCAGGTACCGAATGACACTCACGTAGTCTATAGCAAGCATCAGCCTGCGATGCCAGGTGTTCATGCCCTTGTACTTGGGAAGGTGGAGAGTTTCATTCAGGCCTCTCAGTGAACCAAGAGGATGGTACTCGGTGAGGATTGTGAACTGCTGCTCACAGTAGCCAAGCAGCCGGACAACATGCTTGCTCTGGAGGGCTTTCAGCATCTTCAGTCCATGGAGAAAGTCCTCCTTCAGCTCTGAGTTGGTGAGCTGTGAAAGGACCACTTTCTTTTCCTTCCACTCAGAAAGGAAGACCTGAGAACACACAAGAAACACATAAGACACGTGGAGAGCCTTCTTCGATGAACGGCTGTCAGCTGCTGCTGACCTCTTCCTGTGACATCTGCAAACTACAGTCACCAGGCAGAATCAGCTTTAGGTAGAGCAGTGTACCTGTCACAGCAAGCCCTTTCCGATGCCACAGTTATATCACGATTTCCTAAGTTTTCTTTGGAATGGACATTAAGTTATTTTCTATCACCCAAATAGCCAGTCTTACTCTGCCATGATTGTACCAATCTGTGATTTTGCTTGTGTAGCTGGATGTCGTTTGGTGTCAGAGAGCTGGCCCAGGTTGTGCTCTCATACCTGTTGTGTTCGCCTTATCAGTAGCCATATGGTCCCGGATGCCTACAGTGCTGAGCTGCTGAGAGGAGAATCATAACAGCAGTGCTGGCATTAATGAGCCAGCAAACTGTGAAAGCTCTTTATCCAGAGGAGAGAAGAAAGAAAATCCAAACTCACCTTTTTCACAGCACCTTCACCAACACACTTGAGTTTCCTGACTTCCCTATTTATGGCCTCGCAGGAAAGCCACGGGGAACAGTTCTTCACCGCTCCGAATTTGAAATGCCCAAAAGGACAGAGGCCAGAGTCCGTTTCGACTCGTCCCAGAGAGCTGGAAAACTTGTTGAGGTACAGGTAGAGAAGGGCATTAAGGAGCAGGACGGCCGCAAGCAGTAACGCCAGCGAGACGGATGGCACCTCTCTGGGAAGAAACTCCCTCCTAACGAAATGCGGTTTCTTTTCCATGGCCGTGCCTTCCGCATCCTCCGTGAAAGACGGAGGCTAAGCAGAACCCTCTTCCCCGGTGGACGAACGCCTGTACGGTTTTTTCAGCGCCGGCTGCCCAGCCTTCCCGCAGGCACCGCGGTCCGGAGCCCGCAGCCTCCGACGAGAGGCCACGCGTGGCAGCGGGACGTGTCAAAGGCGGCCGCAAGCTCGACGCTCGCCGCGCTGCGCATCCTCCCGCGGTTCCGCGCAGGCGGGCCCGAGCCGCGGGCGGCGCGGGCAGGGACGCCCGACCCCGGAAAGCACCGGGAAGCGCGGCCGTGGCGCGGCGGCGGCGGCGGCGGAGCGGCGGCGGTCGGGGCGGATGGACCAGGCGCTGCTGCTCGTCCGCAACGAGCTGCCCGCCCCGGGCCTGAACCTCGCCGCCCGCTCCGGCTCCTGCCACCAGGTGAGGGGCTGTGCCGGGCGGGGGTCACCCCCCGGCCTCCGCTTCTGACAGCCCGGCCAGCGGCGGGGCTGCTCGGCGTCTCCCCGTGGCTTCGTCAGGTCGCTTCGCTTCGGCTTCGAGCAGCACGCAGGGAATTCCCGCAGCAGGAGATGCTCCAGCCCCGTGGCATCTTTCCTTGTCTTTGCCACCATGCAAGGCAGAACCCCCTTTCACTCTCCTTTGGCACTAATGAGCTCCCTTCACCCTCTTCTTCCACAGTGCTTGTATCAGCTCCTGGCGTTTGTCCCACCAAGCAACGAGAGCCTGAGCAAACCAGGCACGGCGTCGGTAATGGTTGATACGCAGCATCCACTCACCCTGCTGCTCAACAGCTCTGTGGGTGACAGAGAGCTCTGCAAGTAGGTGGCCCAGCCCCAGGGAGTACATGGATAGCTCTATCCTCTGTTTGTGTTGGTTTGGGTTGTTGCTGGGTTTTGGTTTTTTTCGCCTTGGAGCCATGTGCCTCTTCACTGACTGCTCATCGCCTCCTTGCTCCCAATGGTTTAGACCTGGAGCTCAGTCTTCCCCCCACTGCTGTAACAGTGGTGTACTTTGGAATTGTGCTGACAGGATCTAGGTGCAAGCAGGAGCACAAACGGTGTTCATTAAGGCAGCATGTGCAAGCACCTGCTTTCTCTTGCAGGGAGTCTCTAGTTCAAGAAGAAAAATGATGGCAGTGCATGTGTGGTAAAAAAATTGGTGCTGGGCTAGGGGAGGGTAATGTTTGGAAGAGGCAAGTTCTGTGTTAGAACACAGTGTTGGTCCAAGTTTTTGGCTTGCTTTTCCTAAAGCATTCAGGCTGACAGCCCCCCCTGAGTGCTGCAGTGGTACCTGCATGTACTGGGGGTGGCTCACCAAGTTTTGTTTCCTTTATCATTTGCAGGGTTCAGTATCATTTTGGAGAGTTTGGCAATTATTCCCTTGTGGTAAAGACCCTAAGTACAAGCACCCAAACTGTTTCTTGTGACCTAGTCATCAATGAAGGCCCTATCAACAGCTACCTCCGTATGTAGAACTGTCTTTTTCCCTTTCATTCTACAACCCACATGTCTCCCAGCAGAACCAGCTTCCTGAGAAGCCTGTGCTGGAGAGTTGTCATTGGCTTGCTTCTCTTCCTTCTCGACATCTTTGCCTCTTTATGTTTTATACACCTGTCTTGAGGCCCTGACCAGGATCAGGCCTCTTCACATGATATCCTGTCTGCCCACAACATTTTTGCAGCAGGCATTAGTACAGAATAATCGGTGGGTATGTGTCTGGAGGAAAATATTACTTCCTGTTTCCCTGCATGTTTTTCTATATACACAGAATCCTCCCTCTTCTTCCATCTGTCTTCTCTTCACAAAATAGGGAACAACTCACACGGTGTTTGTTTGGATTTTTGTTTGTTGTTGCACTTTTAATTTAGAACCTGACTTTCTTGATTTTTGTTCATCTCTTATCCAGGACGTTTTCAAACTCTTGTCTATGTCTGTTCTTTTCTATTATATTATTCTTCAGTTCTTCCAGTTTCCTAACTGTAAAGAAAAATTCTCCATGCTTGCTAACTAGGTGTATTGCCCTTTCCCCTATCTTCTTCATGTTGAGGATATTTCTAAATCTCCACTTCCTTCTTCAGAACATATCACAGCACATCAGCTCTTCTCTCACTAGTGTCTTGTGATGCAATGCAGTTTTATTTTGCTTTTTTATGCCAAAATGTGGAGTCACTGAGCTGCACTTTGAAACTAACCTGCTTTTGTGTTGGGTAGTTTGGAGGTTTTGCTGTGGGTTTTTATTGTTCTCTGGGATGTATATTGCATGGAGAATGTGGGATGATGATCAGTGAGTTGGGCTTTGTGTCGTGTTTGTGTCACAGTTGGCCAAGGCCAGGTTGCTGAATGGTTTTGTTAGATCATTTATAGAGTTGTGTTCTCTTTTCATGTAGCTATTCTCTTTGCTTTCCTGGTTTACATGGGGATCCTTGCTCTCCTGATTGCTGGGCGCCTTCTAATGAAGTAAGTGAACTTCCTCCTTGCATGTGCCAGTTTAAGACCACACATCTCAGTGTGGTAATACTTTGGAGTCCCACTTGTAGCCCTGCTTGCAGATCAGATCCTGTTATCATGTGCCATGTGCACATTGTGGCACATGTGGCAAGAAATGCAGAGTAATGCGATTTCACTCGAGGGGTATCTTGCAGCCTTGGTAGTTTGCGTGCAGAGCAGCTGATGTTCACTGTAAGCTCACAAACACCCTGCTGCACCCTGATGTCCCTTGTTCCTTGTCTAGCTCTGGATCAGTAATCCAAGGCAGTGGGAACAAAGTGCACATAACAAATGCAGCCTTCTACCCTTTACTGTAAGTTGTCCTTGCCCGTAAGCAACCCAAGAATAAAACCCCCAAACATGAGCTTGTGTCAGTGTATTTCCACAGCTGGACTAAACTGAGATCCTAGGAGCTGGCTGAATCTCAGTGCTACCTATGTGAGCTGTAAAAACAGAAATAGGAACTGTCAAAACTTCTGTTTTATTCTGCTAAATAGCTGCTATTGAGGTGAAATTAACTACAAAGTACTTTTGGCTTTGTTTTGTGCTTTAACTGTTACTCATTTTCAGAATTGATCCAGTCAGAAACTGGGTTTACAAGAAACTGAATCCCAGAGCAACTGATCGTATGATTAACTCCGTGAGTGACCACAGTATCTTTAGTTTGCATTCTGTAGTGTTTGCATCTCTGAGAAACACACAATACCTGGACATCTGGGGACTTGTTTATTACTAATCATCTTCCCCTTGTGTGTGTTCCCCTTAGCAAATCTTGTATTGATGTCAGATAGACAATTTTATGTCAATGGAGAGTGCTAGACTGGGTTTCCATGCAAGTGCAGTGGATTCCCTGTAAAGCTCTTGCAAGTTTTGAACATACAGCTTCGTGCCCTCTTTAATTCCTTGAAAAAAATGTGTTGGTGAAAATACTGTCCCCTTCTAACATAGTCTGTGTAAGGGAAATCACAGCCTTCATTGCTCTTCCAGCACAGCAGGAATTTTAGCCAAAAAAAAAGAAGTCAGAATTTCTCTGGCACCCCTAGAACCAGCATTTCTGTGGGATCCTCATTTTGTAGTAGAATGTAGATAGTTCATCACAGTCTGGGCTTCATATCTAAGAGGTCCAAACCTGTCTGGAATTAAAATACTTGGAAGCAGAGCTCTACTGCAATCTTGAAACAGTCTCTCTGTGATGTCAGACAAGTGCTGATGGGCAGGGGGGGGTCCCGTTTGAGAGTTAGCAACTTGATCTGCTCAGCTCTTTTGTAAAGCAGTACTCAGAGTGTTGGCAGGTCTTTGGCTGATTTGGGGGGGACCCAGCTCTGATGAGTCTCAAGCACAGGCTCATTTCACTGCATTCTTCTTTCTGCCTGGTCAGAGGTAGAGTCTGGAGCATGTGCAAGCATTATTGCAATGTGGTGAAGCCAGGAAGAGGTTAGAAGCAGACAGAAGAAAGACAGGGAGAATAAAGACAGAGTGTGTGTAAAAGTTTGCAGTTTACTATCCTTTGTTCCCTAGTCAGCTGGTGCAGCTGCTGACTTTGTCTTCATGTGTCTGGTTTGTTCCTGAAGGAGCTTGGATCGCCGAGCACAGCAGAGTCCATGAACTGTGATCCTGCCCCGCAGTCGTGGAGCGCGGGCTCTCGGCAGCGCCTGCGCTCCCTCGACACCTTCCGAGGGTGAGCGTAAGAGCGTGCTCAAAAGCAGCTCTTCCAAGGGGAATGAGACTTTTCCAGCGGGGATTTGACTGTGCATGGCAATATGTAGCAGATGGACAGTTCAAGGTGGTCTGTTTCACTTGGAAGTTCATGAAGATTTTCATTCTCAGATTTTCCAAAATACTTTGTAATTGATCTAATTTGAGGAAATGTCAAAGTTGTGGCAGAGGGTGCAGAAGAGCCATGTGTTCAGTGTGGAAATGCAATGCAAAGGGGCTTGCTTTGGTTCACCACCACCTATGATTTTTGAAACATGGCTTACTGGTTGGTAAAGCTGGAAACCTTGGAAATCTTGCTTTGAAAATAAAATAAATCAAATCTCAAGAGTTAGAAATGCATTAGTGGGAGTAGTGATCATTAACTTTGTGTTCATAAATATGCATTTCATCGACATGTGATACTTTGTGGTTTTGTTGTCATTTTAGGCTCTCTCTTGTAATTATGGTGTTTGTTAACTATGGAGGAGGAAAATACTGGTTCTTCAAACATGAGAGCTGGAATGGTAAAGTACAATTGAGACAGTTGCTCTGCATTTTAACTGCAGCAGTATCTAGAAATGGTTGGTGTTGCAGCTGCTGCAGTGAGCTGTTACTCAGCCAAAGGCTTGGATGCTGTTCTGGTTTGCCTGGTTTGCCTCAGCAGGGAATCTGCCTGTTGGTTAAATGGGCAAAGCAGAGTATGGTCCTCCTCACCATGCAGTGACAGGATGGTTTCACATCACAGTCTGTGTGTAACCATTTCTTTTGTGATACAGGGTCCTATCTTTAACTTTCCTGTGTTGCTTAATGACCACAGTCAAGCTGATGACAAATATTCTCACTTAAAA